CTTAATCTTTCTCCCAGTCTGGTTCTCAACCATTTTCTTCCAACCCAAGAAAATGCTCAACACCTCACTCTTGTGCTTCATAGTGTAGACCTAAGACCTTCTTGAATAATCATCAACAAAGGTCACGAACCAATGTCTACCACTCAAAGAGGGAGTCTTTGTAGGACCCCAAACATCCGAATGCACATAATCAAGAATGTCCTTCGTCTGATGTACAGCAGTACCAAACTTCACTCTAGTTTGCTTCCCCAAGACACAATACTCACAGAAATCAAGCTTACAAGTCGTGACACCTTTTAGAAGACCTTGTTTCACAAGCCCTTGTAGAGCTTTCTCACCGGCATGGCCTAATCTCATATGCCACAATCTAGTAGTATCAGAATCGGATGTGCCCATATTTTCTGAGACTACAGATGCTTCACCTGTCACAGTGCTTCCTTGCAATAAATACAAATGGCCACATCGAGGAGCTTTCATCACAACAAGTGCACCATAAGTCACCTTCAATGTCTGCCCATCTGAATGAAACCTGAAGCCCTTGGCTTCCAAAGTTCCCAAAGAAATAAGATTTTTCTTCAAATTCGGTACATACCGAACACCTGTCAACTCTTTAACCATGTCATCATGCAACTTCAAACGAACTGTACCAATCCCTTTTGTTGTGCAAGGATTGTCATCTCCCATGAACACAACACCGCCATCAAACTCTTTCAAGCTTGAAAACCAATCCTTGTGAGGAGTCATATGATGAGTACAACCCGTATCCAACACCCACTTAGTAGCACAATCAAATGATGAGGAAGTGGTTAAAGCGAAATCAGAAAAATCAGTTTCAACCTCAGCAACATTAGCTTCAGAGCTTTCTTTTCCTTTGGTCTTCAACCTAGGACAATCTTTCTTCCAATGACCCTTATTATGACAAAAGGCACATTCATCCATTTCCAAAGTTTTTCTACCTTTAGAGTTTCCTCTAGGTCGAGACTGTGATTTTTTCCTACTAGAAGATGATCTCCTCTCCGATGATCTACCTCTAACACATAAAGCTTCAGAGGTACTATCATGATTTTTATCTCTATGCCTCATTTCATAATTCATCAAGGCATTTGACACATCTTCAAATTTCACAGTTTCTTTACCATGCATAATAGTGGTAACAAAATGCTCATAAGAGTCCGGCAAGGAATTCAACAATATTAAGGCCTTATCTTCATCCTTAATATCCTCATCTAAATTTAACAAGTCGGCAATCAACTTATTAAAAGCATCAAGGTGTCTAATCATTTTTGTACCTTCTTTGTATTGGAAGCGGTAGAGCTTTTTCTTCAAGTGTAGCCGGTTCTCTGCACTCTTCGTCATATACTTGTCTTCCAATTTTTGCCACAACACACTTGCCAATGTCTCCCGCATCACAAAATACTTCTGAGTTTTTGCAAGGCACAACCGAATTGAAGAGCAAGCCCACAAATTTAATTTCTCCCATTCTGGCTTCGACATAGCTTCCGGCTTCTCTCCCAAAGCGGCAAGTAGATCTTGTTGAGCCAACACATCTTTGACCTCACATTGCCACATCCCAAAGTTGTTTGTGCCATCAAACTTTTCAACTTCGAACTTTGCATTTTGCACCGTAGTTCTTGCAAATCCGGAGCTGCTTCCAAAAGGATTCTCATCTTGCCCGTCTGACATTTTTGGCAATTAGACAGTACCCAAGAGCAACCAGTGCTCTGATACCAATTGTTGTGCTAGGATAGCACCAAACCACGCGGAACCAAATCAAGCTAACCCACAGAAAATATATCAAATGAAATGCAAGAACAAAATAGAAAATAACACCAAGATTTTAACGAGGTTCCTCCACAGTCAGTGTAACTGGAGTACGTCCTCGGAGCAGTAGGAGCTCACCCAATAATCCACTATCAACCAAATGGGAGTTTATAAAGTGTTGGCAATCTCACAACCCAAAAGCCCAATACACCCAATAACTCTCACACACCAAAGAAACAAATAGAGAAAGAAATATAATGAATAATTTCTTTTCTATACATATAGCTCAAAGCTATTACAACAACAACTACTTTGGTGAATGATTACTAACCGAAGAGAGGAGCTCTTTTCAAATGGGGGATGCGGCACCCCTTGTTCTCTGCCCTCTTTCTCTCTGCAAAACTCTCTGCAACTCTCCCTTCTCTCTTGTTTTCACACCACCGAATGGAAAAGCAACCAAACCCTTCATTATGAAAGAGCCAACACTCACGGGTGGTAGACAAAAGAAAAAGCAATCCATATTTTCTTCCCCAAAACAAGGAAAGATGTTTCCCCTTTTTGTTTGTTAATTCTAAAGTATGGCCACTTGGCCACTTATTCAACAATTGACGCACACTGGGACACGTTGGATTGCTTTGGTGCCTGCCAATATATATCCTGACTATTGATAACCTATGGTGAAGGAGAATTATGGCCTTGTGTATGTACAGATGCCGGATCAACTATGGAGTCTGGATGTTTGTAAATTATTGCAGCGGCCGCCAGCTCCAAGGCCAAAAGAAGAGACTCCGAGGCCGAGGCGCGAGTTTGAATTTTTGTGTAATTATCAATACCACGAAGGACGTCCAGAAGGTCCCAGGGGACGTTTGCCCTTCGGTATGAAATGTATGCTGGTGGATTCAAAACTGCATATGGTTGGGGGTTATTGGAAGAATATGCACGTTAATGAGACTGCAGCTGGGTGGGCTAACCTAGATGTCTATGCATGTGAACCCATCGAAGGTGATGGTGATGGTGATGGTACTCCAAAGGCTGAGGAAGAGGAGGCAAAGGCGGAGGCAGAGGAAGAGGGTCCATCACCATTACCGTCCATCCGCCTCTGCAAGAGTAGTACCATTCCTAGTTTGTCTGGTCCCAAGATCGATCCTATTGTGCTCACCCTCGAGGACAAAATCTATGTCCTTTCTCAAAGGCATCGTGGAGACGTACAAGTATACTGGCCGGCTCTTTTTGAGGTTTTCAATCCTAACACCCGATTGTGGAATGTTCTTCCAAATCCCCCCTTCGCCTGTGGTCGTTTAGATGGTTTGTATATCAGCCTCCATCTTGCTTGTGGCCACAAGCTCGTCGTTTACCTGTTAGGCCGAGATGATCGTGAACCGTGTATCTTTGATACTCGCAAAAAGAAGTGGGAGTACACACAGTACCTGGAACGGGACATCGGCAATGTCAATGGTTTTGCACAATACAGGGACTTTCTAATTGGCGTGTTAATGTCTGCAAGCTGTTATAAGTGCCTACAACTTGTTGCTTATGAACTGGATTCAAATGGTATCCCCAATTTGTATCGGGTGCTCACCGAGCGTGATGACATGTTCTATCATGCTTATGAGTTTGAGGAAATCTTTGAGCCAATCTTCACCATCAATGTCGGTGGTGATGGTGATGGCCTCATGTGCTTTATCTATTATGGTATTGGTGGATCACGTGGGGTGCGACTAAGTGTAGGGTTGTTCCGAATTTTCACAGACGAGTCTGAAAAAGATGGATGGAGGATCTATGCAAGGAGAGAGGCGGCTGTCGAGACTTATTATTTAAACCATGCTAGCGATGGAGTTGAGGATCCAGAGATTTACTCAGTTGTTGTGTAACCAAAGATTTGCTTTGGATTATAACTCAAGGAATTAAGCGAGTCGCGAAGAGATGGATGGATTGTTTATGGTCAAATTTTTATCTCATATTTGTCGGTTGTTGTTTCCTTTTTCCTACATTTTCATTTTTTTCATGTTAGGAAGATGCGACATTGAAAAAATCTTGATTAGCTCGGTACTGAAGTTTTTGTTTTTATCAAGCAAAAGAAAACGAACTTTACAAGCCGAACATTATGTATGACACGACTGATGAGAGTCGATTGAAAATTATTCCTTTCTAGCATTACTAGTGTATTTATAGTTACATTGATCTGTAGGGCGTTTGCATTCTCCCATTCATCTTCACAAGTGTCGAAAATGTACAATTTCTCCTCCAAGGAGAAAACAGCGAGCATGCAGCCCCATGCAATGTGTCGACGAGAGACATAAGTACCACCTAAAGAAACATGGGCAAATTTGGGGATTTGGATGAACGTTCCCCAATCGAGTATCGGAATAAAAAAACCTCGCAAAGGGTTGGCCGACGTTCTTCTACTTTTCTGACATGGAACATAGAATTTGCCGTGGTGTGCGACCATGATAGGATTGATCAATTAGGATCAGACAATCTAGAGATTTTAGTAGTGTTATACAGGCCGTTGGATGGTGATAAACCCTCTTCCTCCTTGGCATTGGGATCGTCGTTGTCCCACTCCTCATCATCATCATCGTTTTCGTCATTCTCCTCATCGTGATCATAATATCCATCATCATACCCATCATTGCTCCTCCTCATCATAGTCGTTATTATCGTCGTCATCAAAGTTACAAGGAAAAATCTCAATGTCATATATCATGAGCATAGCCATTATATGTAAAATTGGCCCATAACACTTTTCTTCTTCGACTGGATTGAAAATTCTAACAAAGTTTTAATCGAGTCCTATATAAATGCATTATATCCTTTGATGTATACTATTCATTTTTCGCATCAGCATGTTTTTCACAAATATCATATATATTATGTAAAGAAGAAATTCTCTCTTGAAAACTGAAATACAGTCCTAGTGACATTCATTTAATAGATGCTTGCCACATGTTCGTAAAATGCACCATACGTCCAATAAACCCTTGACACCTAGAGAAGTAGTGACAAGAGATAACCATGGGGATTATCTCACCACTTGTATAGACACTTGTACTGTCTCGTGTTCCGGCATACTGAAAAATCTCTTCTACTTTGGAGGGCTAACAAAATGAAATATGTAAATGGTACATCTGGAATTAATGGCTACAGTGTTGGCCATAATCCAAAGACCCCCAAAAATAGAAGACAACTACGTAAATACACGAAACCATAGGGACCGCCACCGGGAAGCTCCCAACTGTCAATCTCTGACACAATGTACGCAGCAGTCACCAGCAACAAAAATTGAGCTTCAGCACCCAATCCCCAAATCCCCTCTCTCTCTCTCCCTCTAACCCTAACCCTAATTTCCACCACCGCGCTCCGACGATATGACCTAGATACCCCTCCATTCCCGGCGAGTTTAGCTCAGACCGTGCACCAATCAACGAGCACCGAACAAAATCCGCGACGATGCCACCACACGCCGATCTGGACCGTCAGATTGAGCACCTGATGCAGTGCAAGCCTCTGCAGGAGGCGGAGGTGAAGACGCTGTGCGAGCAGGCGAGGACGATCTTGGTCGAGGAGTGGAACGTGCAGCCGGTGAAGTGCCCCGTCACGGTTTGCGGAGACATCCATGGCCAGTTCCACGACCTCGTCGAGCTCTTTCGGATCGGCGGCCACGCCCCCGATACCAATTACCTCTTCATGGGCGATTATGTAGGTCAGTTCGAGCATTTTCACATAACCTTGCTGTTTAATCAAGTAATTAAATAACTAATTTAGTTTATGTGTTGTTGAGATTTAGAAATTTATTGAATTTTTGGATAATGTGGTTTGTTTGGGAACATGGATATGTTCCTTTCAGTGAATTTTAAGTATTTAGTTGATATGGTTAAGAAGTTAGTTAATTTGCAAATGCAGTAAGGTGCAGCAGGCTGGTGGGTTTTAACAAAGAGGAGTTTTTAGCTGGTTATTTATGGTAGTCTAGGGATTTGGGCAGTCCACGAGCTGTTTCAGTAGAATATGAGATTCGTGAGTGCTTTACGCTATTAAGGATGAGTTTCGAGGGTGCTTGTTTGGGTCGCTAGATTTTACTTGTTTTCGGTCTACTGGAAGGAGCAGAGTAGGCACAAGTAGTTTTCAACCAGACTAGGCTAAATTTAATGTCTTTTCTAGTTCCTCTGTCTAACCCAGTGACTTTCATATATTTTTACAATGCAAACCTAAAACTTAGGTTTAGATCATTTGACTGAGCACGCCATTTTCTATAATATGTTCATAGTTTTTGCTCTTTCTCTTCATTGTATCTTTGTTTTTTTGGAATTTATGAGTAGTGTCAGCAATGAGCATGCTATCAATTTTTTCTGGTTGATGAAGATGATAATTAGACATGTTTGCATATAACCTGTAATTGAAAGCCATTTGCTCTCTGACGATGTAGTTGCCAGAGATGTAACTTACTGTTCCACTATTTTAGACTGTTAAATCATTTTGTTTGACCAGAATTTGCCTGTGCAACCTTTTTTCAGTAATTGTCTTGTTTCCTTTTTCTTATACAGATCGAGGATACTACTCTGTGGAGACTGTCACACTTCTAGTGGCCCTGAAAGTACGTTACAGAGATAGAATTACAATTCTTAGAGGAAATCATGAGAGTCGGCAAATAACTCAAGTGTAAGACATTCTTCTCAAATGTTTTCATTCCAAACTCCTAAGGTGCAACCTTACAAGTATTGATAGTGAAAACAAAGTCGTGGAATTTTTCCACTGATTCGAAGGAGGTTTCAATTAGTCACGTAAAAGAAGCCATTTATATGTTGTAGATAACTTTTATTTGCTTCAAGTGTTTTTAATAGTGATTCTTAAACTTCAAATCCTTATTTATATCTGTACACTGTTGCCTTTTCAGGTATGGTTTCTATGATGAGTGCTTGAGGAAATATGGAAATGCTAATGTCTGGAAGTTTTTCACTGACCTTTTTGATTATTTGCCGCTCACAGCCTTGATTGAGAGTCAGGTTTGAATTTTGAAGATCTTATGTCCTACATCGTTATCTTAACTTGTTATCCCCATTATCTCGTTTAACAAGCGTTGTTTCCTCCTCCTAGATCTTTTGCTTACACGGCGGACTCTCTCCTTCATTAGATACATTAGACAATATTCGTGCTCTGGACCGGATACAAGAGGTACTCTAAGGTTTCCACCTGATTAAAATCCAATTTCATCTTCATATTCTCTAATATTTTTTTCTTGAAGGGAAAAATTGCCCCATTCCTGTTTTCGTTCTGCATGTTCTAGGTCACTTTGGTTCTTGGGATCCACTTGCCTGTTAACTTGTTTATGAAATAAGACTCGAGTGGTCCTGATTTTCCAATATTGAACTCACTTGTCTGTGAGTCGTGCAATATTAAGTGCATTGAACACTATTAGTGTGGAGAGAAATTGCCTACTAAACTCTGCTCGAACATATTCAAGTAGCACGTCACTTACTCTAGGCTTGTATTAAAGTCTTCCATGTAAGACATTTTTCAAGATATTAATGTACCTACTGCTGGCTAGGCATCTCTTGTATACTGGTGTGGCATTTTTATTTCATGGTATATGTTTAGAAGATTTGTGGTAATTCTAGTCTTCCCTCGTCTGAATGGAGCAGGTTCCTCACGAGGGTCCAATGTGTGATCTGTTGTGGTCTGACCCGGATGATCGATGTGGGTGGGGAATATCTCCTCGGGGTGCAGGGTATACATTTGGACAAGATATAGCAGCCCAATTTAACCACACTAATGGGCTAAGTCTTATTTCTAGAGCTCACCAGCTTGTTATGGAGGGTTACAATTGGTGCCAGGTTAGTGCCTAAGAAGCAGAAGTCTCGTATCAAATTATGCTTTCAAAGTTATGTTCTGATTGTTGTTTAACTATTTTAGGAAAAGAACGTTGTGACGGTGTTTAGTGCTCCAAATTACTGCTATCGCTGTGGAAATATGGCTGCAATTCTTGAGATAGGAGAGAATATGGACCAGAATTTCCTTCAGTTTGACCCAGCACCGCGTCAGGTCGAACCTGATACAACACGCAGAACTCCAGATTATTTTTTGTAATCCTCATAGCTTACCGCCTATTAGCAATCTTCTCGTGTCGTGTTGCTTTTTGTAGATTTGTCTCACAAAGAAGATGAGTTTTGATGTTTAGTTGAGAAAGAGACGGAAAGAAAACATATCATTCTTTTGGTTAAAGTTGTTCCTGCTGCTTAATTCATGTGAGTTATAGGATTATTTCAAGTAAGACTTGTGTCATGTACCAAAATAGTTGAAACGAACGACGGAAACAGCAATAACATATTCTTTATGAGATGCTTTCAGTTTTGGGTGAACGGAAAGATTGTTTCCATTTTCAATTATGTTCTTAAGCTGTCGAATTAGGTGGTTATCCAAGTGTTTTTTCAAGATTTACTTGTCGGGATACCGACGTGGCTCCATGGAGAGAGAAAAACTCTATTTAGAAAGAGAATACGAGCACAGAAATATGCTTTGGGATCCATACATGAAGCAACAACTCTAGTGTAACAGAAAAACTCTCTGGTGGACAAGAAACATGTATACTTCGAGCGATCCGTCTGCGGAGGTTCGCCTGGTCCTCCGCGGCGGGGTTTGCTCCTCAGCTGTGACGTTTTGGCCTCACCTTTTCTACCTTCTCTGGCATGGCCAACAATATCCTTGCATCCTTATAAACGCAAAACAATTACAAATGAGTTGAAATTTCAAGCTATCCGATCAAAGAGAAAAATGCTATCCTGTAAACCATGTAGAAGTAGTAGAATTGGTAAGAGGATTATAAGCAATTTTACCATCGGAAGTTCGGGACTATTAGGACGACGAAATATTTACGGTAACCCGCTGTTTTCCTCCGGGGGCATCATGACGAGATGCCGAAGCTTCTGTAAGTTTTGAGTTATCTCTGTCAAAAGTTTTGTTCCTTCACTATGTTTCTCAAGTGTCTTAGCTGCATGCTCTAGGAATCCTGTGTCTGACTCAAGGGCCTTCACCCTTTCACTAAGATGAGACAACAACGACAATTGCCTTGTTAGAGCAGCTTTACTTCCATTTCCTGCCATATTCGAAGCATAAATCGGTCATTTGTTCGAAATACAAAAGAGATGACATGCTCGTATTGTACTTCTGCGCGTGTAAGCGTGTGCGTGTACATAAATATGTATGTAATGTGTACGCGTGACCTCATGTGTGTATGTTCGAATATGTTACCTATCTCATCATCCGTATGATTCAGACCGTCAGGGCCCTGCAAAGAATAGAACCCCTTAGCGGAGTTGGTTTTCTTATCGAGTTTCTTCAACCGACCCAGGAGGTAGGTTTTCTCCCCCTTCAGAGGCTTCAAAGATTCAGCAAGGGCTCCCTCTAAGTTCTCCTCCTTTGATTGATCATTTTGTGTGTTTTCGCCATTAGGCTCGCCGGGAGAACTGCCGCAGTCATTTTTCCCTCTGCCCTCATCACCAGATTCGTAGGTGAATTCCTTCAGCAATCCGTATTTTTCTCTATACGCCTCTACTTCAGCTTCTATAAGTCTGAGCTCCTCCTCTCTCTTGGCAAGCAGATCATACGTCGCTTCCAGTGCTTCTTGGTCGTACTCCGCCTGTTCCTCCATCATTCTTTGATACTGCAAGGCTTCCATCTGAACAGCAGCCTTCTCTGCTTGTAGCCGGGTGATCATAGCCATTGCATTGTTCGCTGCCACAGCCGAAGCGCTTCTTTCTTCGTCTAGCTCCATGTACAATGCTATCAGCGACTTCCTATCTAACCGGACCTGCCTCTTCAACCGGTGCAAAATGGAATCACACTCTGCCTCATTTGAAGTGCTTCCCTCGACAGATTCTAAGGCATACTCGCCGGTTTTTTCAAGTGGCGATTTCCTTGAAATCCTCATTGCCACCCTAGGACTGTTTGTAGCTGAATCTGTAAGTGGGATTCCGAAAAACCTATTTCCTTTACCAAAAAGAGGAGTCCTGTTTGCATCATCAGCCAAATCTTCACCTTCTGTCAACAATGGCACTGTTGCAGCTTTGGGATCTTCCTTGACTGCTGCACAAATTCCATCCTCCGAATCAGTTCATGGTTGCGAAAATCAGAAAAAAAAAAAAGAAAAAAACGACACTTAAACAAGTTTGGGAAGTAATTTTTGCACGGCTATGCTTGTATATGGCCTTTCGACTGAATAAATCAAAAGAGAATGAAGGCGTATAAATAAATATACAAGGACTTGAGCAGATACTGTATGTCAAGTTTTTACGTTTAACTCACACTGAGAGACACGATTAGGTGGTTGTGATTCATACTCGTCCTCTGGAAGCTCGGACTCATTGTCTGACATGAGTTTGAGTTCAGTGTACCGAATGTGGGGCAAGTCCAAGCTGCGATCATCACTTCTCAAGGGTGCTCGTGGAGAAGGCGCGGGAGCTTGTGCTAATGCGCTGCCATTTTTCCCCTTCGGGTAGGAGTTGGAAGTGGAGCTCATCTTCAATGGCACGCCACAACACGAACATGAAATGCAAACAATGCTGTTGCTCTTCTCAACCTGCCCTGCCCCCTCCTCCCACGTCCTTGCCGCAGGCACACTCAGCTGAATTTGGTGGTGATCATCCTCGACGAAGCACTCAAGATCCTTGTGCAAGATCCCAACTAAGGACTTGTACGTATCGCAGTCAGATTCTTTCTCCGTAGCAAACGAAAGAAGGCACGCCTCGCACATTTTTCTTATATCAGACAGTTTCTTGTGGTTGTGGCAATAAGCAAGATACGAAACATCTTTCCTATGAGCCTCACAAATGGAGTCATTGTAATAGAAATCTTGGTCTCTATGTACGAGAATGTGATCGATTCTGGTGCAGAGCCAGCAGGGGATTTGCAGCTCGAAGAACTTGGAGAATTCATTGGCAGCAAACGCAAGGAACCCGTCAACGAAGAGCAGAATGATCAGCGTCCATTCGAGCAAAGCGTAGACCACGAAATGTGGCAGCCTGCCCAGCTCTTGCTCAACATAACGAGTAAAAGATCGCTTTGTCATGTTGCTTTCGCGCTCTTCAAACACGAAAACAACCATAAAACCAAACAAATGCTGGCCTAATCCGTATCTGAATTCGTTTGGAAGCTAGAAGGAGAATGCGAAAATGGTGTCAAAAGTGCTTCCTCTCAAAAGTGCTTATTGGGCGGTGGCGAGATGGAAGATCATGACCTTGGCGGAGCACGAAAGCGTTCCGAGATCATGACCTCTCTCTCTCTGTCTGTGTGTAAAGTGTCTAAAAGAAGGAGAGGGCTAGGTTTTCCAAATCAAGGTTTTAAATTTTGGGTGGTGGAATTTTGCTGCCTATACATAGAAAAATACAAGAAAATTTGGATTTGACAAAAATGGCGGTTCTTAGGCTTAGCGTGTACCTGAAATAACGGTCTATCATGCACTTTCCAACCAACTGGATTTGTCTTAAACATCAGCGTTTTCTGGGAAGGGAGTTTTGAGCCACTGATTTGTCCAACTTGGAATGCTCTGTGTTCCAGAAAGAAATCTTGGGGTGTTAGGGATGTAAGTCTATCCTAAAGCCTTGGGCCATTTCTCGAATTTCAAAATGTTCGATGTGGCATTCCAGACCAATAATACAATGTGTTTTTTAAGTTTCTCATACGCAGACTACCAATGCAATTTAGCCTCGAAATTAAGAATTATATGGAAATAAAAAGTAAACAAAATCGAAGAATATAAATATGCAAGTATTATAGCCAGATTCGTTATTCTCTTCACATTAACGGGAAAAATTAGGGATCAGAACTGCTAGATTAAACATGTTAAATTCCCGTATGTAGCTTCTACTCCATACATAGCTCCACCAAAACATTAGAGATCAGACATACATTCATTCACACCCTACTGCAAATTGCTTATAGATTTGTCATCTACGAAACATGGCTTCTATACAATACAGCCATGCTACTTACTCCAGTAGAAATGTAGAATGTCGATGATGAAACTTCAACCGACCCATTCGGCATTTACGTTGCCTTTCTGTACCGCCCAGTAATTTGCTAACCGAACTGTACAGAAGAGTATAACGACAGTAAATTTGAAATTGCAATTCGGCAACTCACAGCAACAACATTACAAGTCAAGTATCGATAATGAGAATGTTTTTAGGTAAGTGTAAGAGTTTCAACAGATACTTTAAGTTTGTTATACATTTGTTTAATTGTGTAAGCATCAATTTGGAATTACATAATGCAGGAAGCTGCCCTGTTGCTTGACGTCGCTTGCACAGTGGGCAACTACTTCGCTTAATTGTTATAACCCCAATCAACTGTGAACTGTGGATGAGCTTTAGCTTGTAGACAGAACATTCGCAGACATATAAGGCGATATGCATCCCTGGACCTGAAAATTCAGTTGATTCAACAAGAGGAACAGATCAACTTTTATGAATCTTGCTCCTCCGAAGATTTTTACAGAATTAGCACTTCGATAAGATTGGATGAGATAGAAGATATATGTGTTAGGTGAGGCCTTACGCCAGTCCTGTTTCATTGAATGTAAGGGATACCTTTCATTTGGAGATATGAATGCAGGTCAAGGAAGTTAGAAGGTCATTGAGTCTTTTACGGTTCAGATAATATCAGAAATCAAGTTTTTCGTTAGATTTCCAATAAAGCAAAATGTAGCTGGCCAACGAAAGGATTCTGATTTTGTTCAGTGTGTGTGAGACTGTGAGTGCTTATGTGTATACTACTGAGGACATGCCCATAACATTCTCCTAGCTGTTTGTATAAACTCCCCTAACATGATGCTAATCAATATAGCAATATTGTCCCAGTGAAATTCTGTGAAGGGTATGGTACACGCCAGTCGGTGTTTTCCTATGCTCATAGCATCCCCTCTAATAGTGGGAAACTGATTGATTGACTATCCATGTAACAAGAACGTTTCATCCTGCTATAAGATCATATTGTACTGGGAAAAGGGAAAAGAATCCAAATTTTAATGCATGTGAGAGACTACAAAGAAGCAAACGTCTAAAACATCTATTACATGGGAGGGGTTCAGTTACCTGCAACAACACCATAGGAATTTGGATATAACCTTGCAGAAATAGATCGACCTTCTCCAGAGTGCCTCTTGGAACCGGTGTTATCACATATAGCAAGCCTTTGAAAGTGTCAATGCCTCTCACAATTCCTAATTAAGAAGGGCATCAACTGAAATGCATAAGAACCTTAGTTCACATTGATTGCTTCGACCTATCTATATATCTGCATCGCACCAACAATACAAACCTGGATCTCTAATAACATAAACATAAAAACCTACAGGATGGACTTTACTGCCACCACTAAACCAAGTTTCTTAATTTTTCTGCAAATTTGCAATTAAATCCACACCTATATATTAGATGAAATATAATTGACAAAATGTTGCAAAACAAAGAAACCTACCAAGACCAACACACCAAGGTAAATCCTTTGATCCTTCAGAGCTAACTGCCAACCCAACAATGGTTGCGTTCAAACTGTAGAAGATCTCAGCACCTGGGACCTAGCATAAAAGAACTAATTATTACAAGCCTTAATTGAAAATAATAATAATAACAATTAACAGTAATTCCCTTGGTTGTTGATACAAAAATCAAGGATACAAGGTATAAAAGTAATCACCAGTAAGGCTCTCTCTTAAATGTTCTAAACAACCTTACAGAAAACAGGTATAAATGCAAAATTTACTAGTACATGGAAAAGAAACCAAGATTTTAAAATTTCTAAAATCTGCAGTGAGCAGATCAACAGTCAGAACTTAGAACTGACCTGACAATGGAGATGTCTAATCTTAATGCTAGATATTGGAACTTCATAAGGAGGTTGAGAGGCCAAAGCATTAGCAAGTTCTTTGATTGTAGTAATGTTCAGGCCACTTGAAAAGCACTGCCTGAAATAAGCCATTATTCGTACATCACGCAACAGGTGTGCATCCTTTTGTACTAGAATCCTGCAGCACAACAAAGCTAATATGTCACAGAGACGTCCAGCACATCCATACAATCCCATGTCTTCTAGCCAGCATATGCTACTTAAGAAGCAAAATAATTTATGCAAATGACTGACACTTGATAACTTGATTCAATGATCTTGTATAAAAGAGGAATTCTTCTAAGCTTAACTATAAGTGATCACCTCCTACAAATACGTTAAGGAACATACTAAAGAGATTTGGTACTTGATCTGAAACTAATGAGAATTTAGATATAATAATAATGAAAGTAAAATTAATCAATCGATAAATGATTCTCGAATTAAAAAAATAATAATAATGATAATGAAATTAAAATTAATCAATGCACTGGAATCGTGGAAAAGAAATTAAAAAAAACAGTACAAATAAGCAGCATCAAAAATAAAAGTTTCCAGATATTCTTGAAGACGCTAAGAACTTACGATCTATTGAAAGAGTCCTGACGAGCTGAATTGATCTCTATCAGCTTGAGCATAGCGTCATGATCCTCATCTAACCAGAATACCCCACTTGGTAGATTCTTACTCTCGGCCGATATGTTTATTTTAACAACATGGGTAGGGGCAATATACCTCAACATATCCACCAATATATCATAACCAACACCTAGTACACAAGAGGAATAAGAAAATCATATATAATATTCATATCCAACCAGGCAATAATCATCAAAAGAAGATTCATAAAATAGCCACTTGGCCTTTGCCTCAAATGGTACATGGCTAGGGTGGAACTTGCACAAATCTTAGTTCATAATATAATCTACCGAAAGAACCAAAGAGGGGGGCAATTGACCAAGCGAAAGACAAACAAACAAGCAAACAAAACTACAGATTGGGAGAACGTGTTCAATGACAATTAAAAAGAGGAGTAATTGGCCAAGTAAAAGAGCATACCTTTCACCCAGCCAGGTGTATTCACAACAAGAGGCAATCCGATCTTCTTGGTAGGTCTATCACTCTGGTTAAACAAGCAGTATTCCTTCTTATAATAATCATATAAAGCGAATATAGAATTCAAGTATGTTGTAGGATTCGTCTTCGAAGAAACATCACCAAAGAAAAGACATCTGAGAAAAAGGAAGAAATGATAAGTCATCAGATTCCAAGATTCCTTTCGTCCATTACATCAGACCTAGCATCACAAAATCCGTGCATAGCAGTTGGGGGGGGGGAGAAAGAGAGAGAGAGAGAGAGAGAGAGAGAGAGAGAGATACAAAACCAGGAGGACTGAACTCAGGCTAACTAATCCTAGTTACATGGAATGTTGATAACAGATTCGTAGTTGTTGCAGCTACTTCCCATTTCAAATTTCGTGAACAGAACCTTTCCAGCTTTGTAATTATAATTTTAACTCCAAGTCTAGTTGATACTTTGTGATCTTTACGAATGCATACAGCTTTGACTATAGAGCAACTAAACTCTTCACTGAACCCTTAGTAAGTCCTAATTTTCATACCAATTGTCTTGCTCCTAAATTCCTCAATTTTTCTCAAGCTTCTACACTACTATTCCAAATACTATATAAAGAACCAAAATCTGCTACAACACTGATGAGCTAAATTGAAATCTTTATGGTAAAGAATATGACAAACCCTTTTCTCAGCTTGAAACTAGCAAAAAACAAAGTAACCCTGCTCCAAAGGAAAGTCTTATTCGGCCCATGAACATTCATATTCATGCAGTCTCAAATAACAAGTATTCAGCCCTATATAATTGTCGTCTACTACATGGTAAGCACTATAACCACTTCTTCTAACAAGTTCAAAACCATAACAAGGCAGAAAACTGTTCATACCTCTTCGGTGTCTTCAGATGCGGGATTGTCAAATCTAATTTTAACCAAAAAAGAAAAGGACACTCGATTAGCAATCAAACCGAACAAAACCGCTCATCTAACATGAATACATGATTAACAATCCTTTTAAATTCCAGAGCAAATTATTCACAATATGTTAGTTTTTGGCTCGTAAATTATGTCCTTTTCTGTTTAGGATTGTTTTAGGAAAAAGGTGCACCAATTCTTCTCCACTTAGGGTTAGGAAAGAATTTTAGTTTCCTATTCAATGTAGAAATCCTAGAAGTCTATTTGGAATTGGAAAGGAAGTCTAATTTCCTATTCCACTTAGAATAGGAATTATAATCTGTAAAGGACATGTAAGCTAACCCTATATCTATAAATAGGGTGCGGCAAGGCTGTTTTTCTGTAGAAGAAAAACAGCAAAACAGCAGAGAGGTTTGAGATTAGTTCTAGGGTTTGCATAAGTTCTGTAATCTCTATTATTAATCTAAGAAGCAGTGATTTCTCTACCTAGGGAAATCACAACTGGACGTAGGCATAAGTTCTGCCGAACCAGTATAATTTCTGGTGTGTTTTCAAAGTATTTCTATATTTGCTAGTTGAGTCTATTGTCGTTGGTTATATCAAAGAATAAGGTCCAGTGAACGGGGTTTTCAACAATTGGTATCAAGAGCTAGGATCAAGGTGTTCTACGATGTTAAAAGGGAAGATGAATGCGGATCAAGGACCTGCGTTAAAACCCTTTGACGGCAAGGATGACTTCACGGACTGGCAAAGGATGATGAAGAACGTACTGATACAACAGGATTTGGATGATGCACTTGATGGTAAGAAGCCGGAAAGCATGACAGAAGCAGCATGGAATAAGGTTCTCAAGAAGGCCAAGAGTTCCATCGAGATCCATCTCACAAGATCAGTTCGGTCACACATCACCGAAAAGATGTCTGCCCAGGAAGCATGGGAAAAATTGGAGAATGTTTATATGGGAAAAACCGTGTCCAATAAACTTTTTCTAAAGGATGAACTATTCGGGCTTCGACTAGAAGAAGGAGGTGATATTGAAGATCACGTATGCAGGTTCCAGAATTGCATAGCTAATCTTCAGAAAGTCGAAGAAACTTACAAAGATGATGATATGGCTATCATCCTGCTAAGGTCTCTACCTTCGTCTTTCAAGCATTTTCGAACAACTCTAATGTTTGGAAAAGAGTCCTTGAAGCTTGAAGACGTAATTCAAGCTCTTCAGTCATATGCTAAACTAGATGATATAACTGAAAGCTCTCAAGGCCTTTATGCCAAAGGCAAGGAGAGGGGAAGGGAAAAGACAAGAGAAGAGAAAATTGGCAACAGAGGTAGGTCAAAATCCAAGAAGAAAAAGGAAAAGAAGGAAGGTTGCTTCGAATGTGGTTCAGCCGATCATTGGAAGAGGAACTGCAAAATTTGGAAAGAAAAGAAAGCCAAGATGGAAGGAAGCTCAGGTTCCGCTAGTGCTGTCACCGAACATGAGAGTGACGGGGAACTTCTTTCGGTAACATCGGGCTCCAAGGCTTCCAATTGGATTTTGGATACTGGATGCACGTTTCATATGTGTGCAGAAAAAGAATGGTTCGATACTTTCAAAGAAGTCAGCAGCGGGGAAGTCTTAATGGGGGATGATTCTTCATGTCCTGTAAGAGGAATAGGCACTGTTCGAATCAGAATGTTCGATGGGATGATACGAGCTTTAGGGAACGTCAGGTATGTCCCTAGACTAAGAAAGAATTTGATTTCCTTGGGCACTTTAGATGAGGCCGGTTATGGGTACAAGTCTAAAAAAGGAAGACTCAGGGTAACCAAAGGATCGCTAGTGGTAATGCGGGGTGACCTACAACCCAATAAGTTGTATAAGTTAATTGGGACCACTATAGTCGGGGGAGCAGCTGTTTCTGTAAATCAAAGTATAGAAGACAAGACTGAACTATGGCATCATAGGCTCGGGCACATAAGCCAGAAGGGATTGCAAGAATTACACAAGCAAGGCCTGTTGGAAGGCGTGTCAGCTTGCAAACTAGACTTTTGTGAATACTGTGTTCTTGGGAAGCAAAGAAAGGTATCATTCGCAAGTAGCAGTGCAGATAGCCGAAGTAAGGAGCAACTCAGCTATATTCACTCAGATGTTTGGGGTCCTGCTCCAACTAAATCAAATGGTGGAGCCAGGTATTTCGTTACTTTCATGGATGATTTTTCTAGGAAGGTTTGGATTTATTTCATGAAGCAGAAATCCGAGGTTTTTGCAAAGTTCAAGGAATGGAAAACAGAAACCGAGAATCAAACTGGAAGAAAGATCAAGTATCTGAGAAGTGACAATGGAGGTGAATATACAAGTAATGAGTTCATTGATTACTGCAAGCAGGAAGGCATCATAAGGCACTTCACAGTAAAGAAAAATCCCCAACAAAATGGAGCTGCTGAGAGGATGAACCGAACTCTCATGGAGAGAGAAAGGAGCATGCGATTTCATGCAGGATTGCCTGATAGTTTTTGGGCAGAAGCTGTTAATCATGCAAGTTATTTGATTAACAGATCACCATCTACAGTTCTCGGCTTTAAGAGTGCAGAAGAGGTATGGTCTGAAAAGCCGGTGGATTATTCCAAGCTCAGGGTATTCGGCTGTAGTGCTTATGCACATATTCCAAGTGATGAAAGGTCCAAACTCAAACCGAAGTCTATACATTGCATATTCCTAGGTTTTGAAAAAGGAGTGAAGGGTTACAAGCTTTGGGATTTCAACAACAGGAAAAAGGTTGTCAGTCGAGATGTTGTCTTTGATGAGACAACCATGCCTCTGAATAAAGTTGAGAGCAGTAGGGAGAAGAAGGATGATGCTGGAATTGAAGCAACAAAGATTCCATTAATCAGTTCAGATGAAGAAGAAGCTCAGGTGGAGCAAATTGAGCAAGAGGCCGAATCTGATGGTTTTGAGGAAGAAGAAGAGCATCAGCATCATTCACCAGTTAGGAATCAGGTGGAGCAAGAAACAGGACAGATTGAAGGTACTCCAATCCGTCAGATATCCCAAAGGAGTCAAACTCCACCCAACAATCCACCTGCATTCCAAAGATGCATAGCACTGGACAGACCTAAGCGGAACAAGAAGAAGCTTGACAGGTTTGGGTTTGACCAAAACGAAGTTAATTATGCTCTTAACATTAGTCAAGGAGATCCGACTACTTATCGAGAAGCTATAGCAAGTGATGAGCGAGATAGTTGGATAAGTGCTATGACAGAGGAAATGGAGTCTCTTTACAAGAACTCCGTTTGGGAGTTGGCTCCTAAACCCAAAGACAGAAAGCTAGTTGGATGCAAGTGGGTATTTAGGAAAAAGGAAGGACTACATGAACAAGATGCCGTGAGATTCAAAGCAAGGCTCGTGGCTAAGGGGTACTCACAAAGGGAAGGGGTGGATTATGATGAGATCTTTTCACCTGTAGTCAAGCATACTTCTATCCGATTGCTTTTAGCAATGGCAGCTCAGCATGACATGGAGATTGAGCAGATGGATGTGAAGACAGCGTTTCTTCATGGGGATTTAGAGGAGACGATATTCATGGCTCAACCAGAAGGGTTTGTTGAATATGGGAAAGAAAACCTAGTATGTCAGCTAAGGAAGTCCCTGTATGGCCTGAAACAGTCTCCAAGACAGTGGTACAAAAGGTTTGATTCATTCATGCTGAAAATTAATTTTAGAAGGTGTTTGTATGACTGTTGTGTGTACTATCATGTGTTCCAAGATGGGATGATCATATTGCTATTGCTATATGTGGATGACATGTTAATTGCTTGTCAAGACAAGTCTAGAATTCAAGACTTGAAAAAGATGTTGAGCGAGGAGTTCGACATGAAGGATCTAGGTGCCGCACAGAAGATCCTCGGCATGGAAATTCAGAGAGATAGGACCGCTGGAAGGATTTGGATATCACAAGCCAAGTATATTCAGAAGGTTCTTGAGAAGTTCAACATGCAAGAAGCAAAGGTAGTTTCAACTCCTTTGGCAGCTCACTTCAAGTTAAGTGGACAACAGTGTCCTACTTCCGAGGAAGAGCAACAAGAAATGAAGAAGGTACCTTATGCTAATGCCGTGGGCTGCCTCATGTATGCAATGGTATGCACACGTCCTGACATAGCTCAAGCAATCAGTGTCGTTTCCAGATACATGGCAAATCCAGGAAAGCAACATTGGGATGTAGTCAAGTGGATTTTGCGTTATTTGAAGGGTTCTTGGCGACAAAGGATTATGTTTGAAAAGCAAAAGGAAAATGCAGGGGTGTTAGGATATGTGGATGCCGATTATGCAGGGGATTTGGACAAGAGAAGGTCAACTTCTGGTTATGTGTTTACATGCGCAGGAGGACCAATCAGTTGGAGAGCACTACTGCAACCGATTACAGCTTTATCGACCACAGAGGCAGAGTATATTGCATTGGCCGAAGCTGGAAAGGAAGCAATTTGGCTTAGTGGCTTGGTAAGTCAAATGGGAATCACTCAAGATTGTGTGAAGCTTAAGTGTGATAGTCAAAGTGCCATTCATTTGGCAAAGAATCAGGTTTTTTCTGGAAGATCAAAGCACATTGAAGCAAGATATCACAGAATCAGAGATTGGGTGGAGTCTAAGGAAATTTGGATTGAAAAGGTTCATACGGATGACAATGCCGCAGATTTCCTTACAAAGATAGTGCCGGCCAAGAAGTTCAAGCATTGTTTGAACTTGATCAATCTCATTGATTGATTAAAGTGGAGCACCTCCTCACCTGAGGTGCAAATGAGGCAAGAAGGAAGTTGCCAAGGTGAAGACTCTTGAAGTTTTTCCAGAGCTACTTCAAGAAGGTTCAAAGATACTCTGGGGTGCAAACGATCAAGACTTGGTTTGACTCACCAAGGTGGAGATTGTTAGTTTTTGGCTCGTAAATTATGTCCTTTTCTGTTTAGGATTGTTTTAGGAAAAAGGTGCACCAATTCTTCTCCACTTAGGGTTAGGAAAGAATTTTAGTTTCCTATTCAATGTAGAAATCCTAGAAGTCTATTTGGAATTGGAAAGGAAGTCTAATTTCCTATTCCACTTAGAATAGGAATTATAATCTGTAAAGGACATGTAAGCTAACCCTATATCTATAAATAGGGTGCGGCAAGGCTGTTTTTCTGTAGAAGAAAAACAGCAAAACAGCAGAGAGGTTTGAGATTAGTTCTAGGGTTTGCATAAGTTCTGTAATCTCTATTATTAATCTAAGAAGCAGTGATTTCTCTACCTAGGGAAATCACAACTGGACGTAGGCATAAGTTCTGCCGAACCAGTATAATTTCTGGTGTGTTTTCAAAGTATTTCTATATTTGCTAGTTGAGTCTATTGTCGTTGGTTATATCAAAGAATAAGGTCCAGTGAACGGGGTTTTCAACACAATAAGTGCAGAAAATAAGCAATTGCCTGGAGTGACTTCATCTACTACAGTGAGAGACAAAAAACCAGGAGGACTGAACTCAGGTTGACCAACATCTGTATCCAAGTAACCAACTTTTTTATACCTGAAAACAAAATTACAGAAAAAAACATGGTAAAAATGCCCCAATCAAAATTCAAATTCAGAACAAACTCAGTAAAAAAAGATGAAAACTTTCAGTAAATTTTGCTTCCAAATTAGATAAAATTCAGGTAAATAAGGTGACCCAATTCAGCTAACACGAAAACAAACACAAAGAAATCAACTTTTACTAAAAACTGATCATCTGAGCCGTGAATTTAATCAACGAGTACAAAGAGGGGGAAGGGAGCTGAGCAGCTGACTGACCTCCGGAGAAGAATGTTGAGGAGGTGGCGGGAAAAGGTGGATTTTCCGCAGTTTTTGGCACCACATACTAAGGCAATGGGAGGCCGCGAAGTGACTGAATCGTACGCTATACAGTCTACTGCCTCGGACCACTCCGGCGATATGTAGATGTTCGCCGATGGAGTTTCGGTCGGCGAAGCCATTCCTCTCTCTTTTTCTCTCTCTAACTCTCTCTCTCTCTCTCTCTCTCTCTCTCTCTCTCTCTCTACTGTGTTGCTCTGGAGCAGAAGAAGAGCGGGTTGGAGGCAAAATTGCTACGGCGCATGCTGGTTTCGTTAATTTTCCAAACGGATAAAAAAGCATTTTACTTGGTTTGACCCGTGATTCCGGTTCGGATTCATTTTCGGGTTGGACAGTCGGTGGGCCGAACAGCCGAAGCCCAAAAAGACTGTAGCAGAGAAGGCCTGACCTGAGTCACATATTGGGCCTCCTCCTCAGCAAACAGGCCTACTGCTATTAAAAACTATTTTACTAAAAAAAAGATTATTGTTTTGCACATATAATTTTACAGAAATTCTTCTAAAATTTCATACAAAACGCATTGGAGACAATCATTCATGCATTTTATGTGATCGAATGCATTTAATTTTTTTTTTGTTATATTTAAGTAAATTACGTTTTCGCCATCGTCCGTATTCACAAACTAGGAATCTCCTCGTTAATTTAAGCACATAATTTCGTCCTCGTGGTCTCACCTATATAAAAGGTGTAGCATACAGACAACCATATAGAAAAATTTCTCCTAAAATATTGTTTTGTGACCCTTTAGCAAAGGTAGGATATTATTACTTAGATGTTACTAATAGATGAGTCTATTGAGACAAATGAATATTCGAATGCATAAAAATAATATACAACTCGAACCAACTCAACTACGTTTAGGTTTCTTGAGTTTTAGGTTTTAAATACCATTAATGATATCCGAACATACAATTTTTTATTTACAAGAAAGAGAAATAACAATATATTATAATATTTGATGAGCAATTTTATGTTCGTTTTTAGCCACCGCAAAATATTCAAACTGGTGCGGTTTGGTTGTTGTTCGGTTCTAAACCATTGAGGAATTTAGTGGAATAAAGTTTGATTATTGTTGTTGATTTTTCACATGGACCAATCTGTGATCTGACCAATGGGACCCAAATCCGATCACTTAGTTACGGATCAGGATCCTCTCCTGATCTAAGGATGATGATCCTCCTGATCAAGAAATGTGGGCCGTTGGATGAAAATCCAACGGTTATAATTATTATAACTTTAAAGGAACCCCCTGCTTGTAGCCGTTGGATTTTCATCCAACTGCCCACACTTATTGGTCAGGAAGATCCTCATCCTTAGATCAGGAGAGGATCTTGATCTCCTAGTTACATTCGAATCACGCGACACGTGTCCCCATCGACCAAACATCTCTTTTAATTCAAACAAGCTAATAATATATTTACACAAATTGACCCAAAAAACACATATTTACACACACAGCCCTCTACCCGATTAATCGTATTGACCAAGAGTCAAACATCGGCACGCAGATCCGACGGCCAAGGCAGCTCCAAAAAACCCCTCGACTTCTCACTTTTTTTGGGGGGGTAGAAAAAAGACAAGAAAGAGGAACGAATCGAACAAGTGCGAAGAGGGAGCTCGGAGAGCAGGTGCGACGACGAACCATGGAGCTCCAGAACACAGTGAAAGACGCCCTCAACGCACTCTACCATCACCCCGACGACGGCGTCCGCCTGCAGGCCGATCGCTGGCTGCAGGACTTCCAGCGGACGCTCGACGCCTGGCAGGTGCTTTTCCGTTCACTTTCTGTTTTTGTTGATTTGAATTCTCCTTTCGGCTTTTTGAAGTTTTTGATCGGTGGCTGTAGCTTGTGAGAGTTTGATGTTCGGTTCTCGTTTCGATTTTCGCTTAGTATATGCTGGAATTTCTGTGATTAGTTTGGTGTTTTTGTCACTCGTGATGGGATTGGATTTTGAGTAGTTTGGAATCCCTAGTTCGTTCCATTTGAATTAAATGAGTTCAATTTTAGGGTTTTGGTCAATCATCTGAGTTGAGGGGTATGCTTTGGGTCAGAAGCATTACTTATTTTCTTATGTATTTCATTTTTAATATGCGAGAGGGAAGCAATTTGTTGCTCTCGTTGGTTTGTGAGAAAATTTTGATCCGAAAGGTTTTACCTTGCAGAATCGATCGATTTTGGTTGTGGCATCTCTTTATATCTATAATGGGAAGCTCATCTATGAGCCTGAGAACAACGTAAAACGAAATATACTCAAATACTGAGCTTAAGAAACAAAGATGATGTGAGTTTACAAGTATATTTGAACAGTGAACTGATCATTTATTGTACACAGCTAGTAAGCTTTAAATCTATACCCTTAACCTTTTTCTTAATCAATGATAAATATCTCTTTCAAAATTTTCACTTTTTGTATATGAGGGTAAAGGTAAACCAGCAGTTTAGTCTTTTTTTCTTTTATGCAACTAGATATATTAAATTTATTTCCCTAAGTCCTTATTTTCTTTTAATTTTGTGGTTTCCATGTAAAGTTTCTTGCACAAATTACTGTTTTAATGGTTATTGGTGTTTCAATTCTATCCTTGTACCTGTTAGATTATACGAAATTTTGCTCTCTAAGTTGAATTAATTACTTGAGGCCAAAACAAAAGTTGAATTTATTCTCTTTATTTTTTATTTTTTTGTATATGGGTTTTGTTAGCTGAATTTGCTACTGTTGAGTTTTCTGAACATTACTGTGCTTCTTTTTCTTAGGTTGCTGATAACTTGCTTCATGATGCAACTAGCAATCTAGAAACTTTAATATTTTGTTCGCAGACCCTTAGAAGCAAGGTATTTCTCTTCTCCTTAGAGTTGCCTGTCAATGTTCATGCACATGCTTTATTGGGTCCTGTTTCCATAGATGCTTAAAAGATCTTATGTTCAAAATGTGTACACCTTGTTTATGTTGTATTGGTTGCGTATGTATAGATTCTTAGTTCATTTTGTATCGTGTCTAGGTACAACAAGATTTTGAAGAACTACAGTCTGAAGCTTTTTGCCCATTACGTGATTCGTTAAATGTGAGTGAGTATCCACTATCCATTGACAATTTCAGTGAGAATTGAGTAAGCTATGGTTTGATTGCTTGTCTATATGAAGAATGGTTCGATTGTGTCTTTTGTCGGTGTCATGGACCTGTTTTATCTATATGAAGAATGGTTCAATTGTTTGTTTACAGTATTGAAAGTTTCAAATGTTTTGAATGCAGAACTTATTGAGAAAATTCCACAAAGGCCCCCCTAAAGTCAGAACTCAGGTACCATCTAGAACTCTCTCTGATGCTGTTTCATCAGATTTTATGATCCCAAGAGGATATTAAGCTCAACTATCTGTCTTTGTAGATTAGCATTGCTGTGGCTGCTTTGGCTGTACATGTTAGCACTGAAGATTGGGGGGATGGTGGTATTGTGAAGTGGCTTCGTGAGGAGATGAATTTGCATCCAGAGTTTATACCAGGATTTTTGGAGTTACTAACAGTTTTGCCTGAGGTATATAACTATATAAATATGATGCTTGCTGACTTTATATTTGCACTGTAGTGTGCAACCGTGTGTGACAAGGCTGATTTAAACCTTCTGTGTGTAATATGATGAAAGTGTTTTGTACACTTCCAGAAATAATGGATGTCCTTTCTAAAGCATACCGTTCCCTTCGTAATGATTCCTATGATGTTCAGCATCATGCTCTTCTGTCTTTTCATTACTTTTTGCTGGGGAGAATTCATGTAGTGGTCTCATATATTAGTCCAAACAATGTATGTTTTCTTAAAACTTTAGTTGATTGACAGATGCCTACCTTTTCACCATGTTTGTTTTCTTCTGGGATTTAAAATCAGGAAGTATTCAATTACAAAATTGCAGCTCGCCCGGAAAGACGCCGCCAATTTGAAAAAGAGCTTACTTCACAAATGGAGATTGCTCTAAACATCCTGACAGCCTGTTTGAATATTAATGAGCTTAAGGAGCAGGTAATTATTTATTCAGAATTGTATAAGTTACACTTTGCTGATATTTGAGACTTGCTTCTAATGGCTGGTAGAGTGCCTTTTTTTAATCGTTTTGCTGGTTGGTTTTTCAGGTTCTTGAGGCATTTGCTTCTTGGCTTCGACTGAAGCATGGGTATGAACTCTCTCTCTCACTCTCTCTCTCTCTCCCGCCTTTTATATATGTGTATGTATAACATATATAGATATATAACCTTTTGTGTAAGGAATGTAATTAGATATGTTAGAGCTTTGTCATTTTTAACATATCAAGGCTTTGCATATCTGAGATAATGTGGTTTCCTATAGGAGTCGTGTCTAGAGGCTGTATAGTCTATTGGAATATTAATTAAGGCATCACAGTGACACCCAAGTGACAAAACAATTTTGGTTTGAGCGGTTGTTTGGAGAGATGATTCCAAACGTCTTGTAATGTGGAGGTTGGAGGTCTCTTCCATGGAAAAGATCACTTGCTAGGATCTTACTGCCTTATTACAAAGATCTCACTTGAATATACCTCAATGATCTGCGATGTGAAGTTTTACTGTGGGCATTTGTATGTGGAGTGCCTTGAATCTGTGGATTCACCAATAGCCAATTTGTGGATCATATATTACATCCTTCTAGTGTATATGAGTGCATAATTGGTTGTACAATTCAGGCATTAAACTTGAGAAGAAGTCCTTTCAAGTTCTTGCATGTGTGCGCTTATTTCCATATGGTATCAAACATGCATTGTACTTCCCTGCACGTGTTGGTTATAATACTGAAATTGGAAATCATTTTTGTAGTGGCACATACTGCAGTACATTTTGCAAGTTGAGATTTATGCAATGCTTGTTATAGTTGAAGCCTGTTCTTCAATATCCATAGATCTACACATGTCACATCAGTGTAATTGTTGTTCTTATAAAATTGGTATAGTTTGTGGCTGTTGATATGATAGTCCCAAATTTCATCTTGTGTTGTGGTATGACTTCTCCTCTTACAGGGTGACTGATAGAAATTCATGGTACTTAAATGAACTATTGTGGGTTTCAGGATCCCTGGATCTGTGCTTGCATCCCATCCATTGGTGCTCACAGCCCTCTCAAGCTTGAATTCTGAGCTACTTTCAGAGGCCGCAGTAAATGGTAAAAACAAGTTTGATAAGCTGATGAAAACTGTATGATACTTTTGTGTTTTCAGCTTGTTTTACTATGACAATTTTATAGCAGTGATACAAGCACCCAATAAATCCAACTTGTTTGAATTTTGAATATGCTTTCATAACATCTTGCTCTTTTTTTAATAGTGTTATAGTTCTTTTTTATGATGTAGTTCTATAATTTGTTGAGGTGTAAATTTCGTGGTAGAACTTCCAACAGACTTTTTTTGGATCGATTTGGCTCTGTAAAGTGTTTCAATTTCAACATTTGGAGGTTCTATATCTAAAGATATTTAAAAGGGTAGTTTGAATTTTTTTGTTGCTTAGTATGTCAATTTTTTGAAGTAGGTATTATCTAGAAAGTTGCCAATCAATTTGTAGGTAATGCAGAATGTTAGTAATGGGCATTGTTCTGATTGCATGTTAAATTTTCTTACATCAAAGATGTGGCAAATATGGGACTGAAAGTACTATTGTAAATATATTACATTTCCTTGAATAGAATGTGCTTAACGATGTTTCTTTTTAAGTCGTCTATAATCCTTGTTATGTTCTGACATTCAGTTCAATATTATCGTCAAATTATTTCTTGTCAATGTTTTAGCATTTGTCTCTGCATGGATGGTGTAGTATCGAAATCTGTTAACTCAGCTCTCTAGTTTATGTCCTTCACATTGCTTCTCTGTCAAAGCCATATTGTAAATTTTATTCAGTTACTGTGTGTGTTCATCAATTTCTGCCTTACCCTCGGGTGGATTTTCTTATTTTGCTTCCCCTCTTGGTTTCTTTTTCATTGCAGTTATATCTGAATTGATACACTATACAGCAGCTGGAAGCTCTGGTGGTGTTTCTGTGCAGATGCCCTTAATTCAAGTGCTTGTCCCTCAAGTAATGAATCTTAAGGGACAGCTAAGAGATTCTTCAAAGGTATTTCATGTGTGGAGTTGGGTTAAAAAGTGTTTTTTTACCTACAAAATACAAATAAGGCTCAACAAACAACCCCTTAATCATTAAAATTAAGTGCAAAATAGTAACTTCATTGATGGTTATTTTGCCCCTATCTCGATTCTTGTTTTCAGGATGAGGAAGATGTGAAGGCCATTGCTCGCTTATTTTCGGACATGGGTGATTCATATGTTGAACTTATTGCAACTGGTATACATATTTAGCAGCTATCAAAAACTTCTCCGAGGAATTGTTGGATGTTTTTCGTCTCTTATGAGCCCTGAATTTTTTGAACTTTGTCTGATCTGTTTCTTTTTGGTTGATAACATCTTTTCTTCAGGCTCACATGAATCAATGTTGATTGTACATGCATTATTGGAAGTTGCTTCACACCCAGAGTACTATATTGCTTCCATGACATTCAACTTTTGGCAGAGTCTCCAGGTAAACTTGACCAGAAGGTGAGTCATTTTAGAATCACAGTCTACTTGGTTGTGTCTAAAACTAAAAAGACATTCAATATAAGAACTCTAACCTTCCAGGGAATCGTATATTTCGTTTGTGAATGAATCTTCCATTGAAGCTGAGAGAAATAGAAGGCTGCAAGTTTTTCGTCCAGCTTATGAGTCACTTGTATCCTTAGTAAGTTCTTTTTCTTAGAAGCTTTAAAATTGTAATTTGTGGCATTAGTTTCAAACACCTATTGATAATATCTGAATGTAATGTGTGTTGTTTTCTGAATGTAATGATACCACTATGTGTTGAATTGTTCTCATGATAATTAAGTGATTTTACCAAGCTAATAGTTTAGTTTGTTAACCTAGGATTCATCTAAAGAGAACCACATTTGTTCTTTAGTGTTGATATTTGTATCTGTGTTCTGCTTAGTGGTTCTCCAAAGAAATGATTATCTGATACAGGGTGATTACCGTTTGTCACATAAATTAAATGGGTGTGCAGATATTGGAGAATTAAGATTCTCATATATCATAAAAAGTACATTATGGGAAAATGGTCAATTATCCTAAAACTGAGCTTCAACTTAATGAAATACCACATTACATGCATTTTGACATTCTTTTATTGTACTAAACTTTGAGAAACTGAAACTATTGACAGGTAAGCTTTCGGATTCAATATCCTCAAGATTATCGGGACCTTTCATATGAAGATCTTAAGGAGTTTAAGCAGACTAGATATGGTAATTCCTAGTTGTTCTGTTTGGTGTGTGACATTGTCTTATAGTTTCCCTAAAAAATTGGCCTAAAGTTTTATGCAGTTGTTCTCATTATTGAAGTGCATAGAAAGCAACACAACTTCTTGCCTAATTTTGCATCGGATAGCAGTATATATTTTTGTTGTTGGGAACCTTAAGCAAGGCAACTTCTAGCCGATAAAATGTGCATCCATGTGTGAATTTCTTATAAATATATTAAAGGCATGTTCATGTTGAACCTCTTCCAAACCACTGGTGTTGGAGATCACAGTCCCACTAGAAAGTTGGTCTTTTGTTTTTGTTTATATTAAATTTTAATTTTATGTGAATGTCAGTTTATTTGCCTCTTCCACATTCATACTCTTCTTGATGAGACCTCGAATGTAGCATGACTGAATCTGTATTGTTCCCAGCTGTTGCAGATGTCTTAATTGATGCAGCATCAGTTTTAGGGGGTGATGCAACACTTAGAATTCTTTACATGAAGCTTGATGAGGTGTGTTTTGATTTTTTCTAATTGTAACTCCAATTTTATGTAAAGTTCATTAAATATTCTGTTGAAACATCAATTATATGTGGGTTCATTGAAATTTTATTAACTTGTAAAGAACTGGTATGTTTGGAAAATATTTAATACATTGAAGAATGCTTAGTCTTCTCTCTGACGTAGTGGTCCTTTACTGCTTTAGCTGTTTTAGTTTCTTTGTGTAAGATTCGTTTTTTATTTTTCTGCTACATTTTGGACATGATATTTTCATTTTATTAAGGCTGCAGCTTGCTGTCACAATGAGCAAAGTGAATGGCGCCCAGCGGAAGCTGCTTTGTTCGGCATCCGGGCTATATCAACTTATGTTTCAACAGTAGAAGCTGAAGTAATGCCCAAGGTATGATGTTGTGCAAATTCATGTCTACATCTTTTCTAGTTTCACCATTGTCCTATAGAAGTTGAAACTGAATTAATGCCAAAGTTATGATCTCATAAACTCACTTCTATTTTGCTTTCTTTGATGTGCACAGGTTATGGATAGGCTGCTAAAACTACCTCAGCATCCTCAACTACTTCAGACAGGTAATGTATTTTTATTAGTTATAGTCCCATCTGTCGTGAGTGGTTATGTTTTATAGAAGTTATATTTCACCAGTCTGTCTAATATGGTGTGCTAAATTCATTTTACCTGCACGTGGAGAGTGTTGCAGTTTGCTTAACTATTGGAGCATATTCAAAGTGGCTTGATGCTGCATCCGGCGGACTGTCCATACTGCCTTCAGTTCTACATATCCTCATGAGTGGCATGGGTATATCTGAAGATTCTGCAGCAGCTGCAGCTGTAGCATTTAGACAGATTTGTGATGGTACTAAATCGAATAAGTCCAATAGAAAAAATTTCCTTAGTTTTTTGTCTAACCTAGTCAGCCTCATAGTTGATAACTCTATCTCTATGGATGCTTTATATTTGGATGCAGATTGCCGGTTAAAGCTCTCTGGATGTTTGGATGGACTCTTCCATATATACCATAGGGCAGTGAATGGTGAAGGCAGTTTTAAGGTCTCTGCTGATGATTCACTACATCTAGTTGAAGCCTTAAGGTAACTATTTTTTGCATCGTCCAATGTTGCATGATCTATGTAGTTTTGCATGATACAGCTGATCCAAGTGTCTATTTGACTATCGCATGCAGCAAGGTCATTACTGAACTTCCCCCAGATCAAGCTAAGAGGGCTTTGGAGGCCTTGTGCTTGCCTGTTGTTACTCCTTTACAGGTGTGTTTCAGTTTTAGAAGGAAATCTACGTATGAATCCTTGTGTTGGTGATATGCTGATTTACTGCTGTCAATAACCAGGAAGCTGTCCGCCAAGGCCCAGACACGCTAAATAGCAAACCTGCTCGTGATTTAACCGTTCACATCGATCGATTTGGATACATCGTTAGGTATGTGAATCATGCAGAAGCTGTGGCAGATGCAATTCAAAGACTATGGCCACTTTTTAAAGCCATATTTGATATGTAAGTATTTCTACATTCCTAGTAGTGTAACACATTACAGTATTGATATCTTAATCTCTATTTATTCTTATGCATGTTTTGAATGTTTATGGTGAAGTCGTGCTTGGGATATGCCGACAATGGAGTCTCTGTGCCGAGCTTGCAAATATGCTGTGAGTTCATTGATCCAGCTTCTAAAATGTTAAAACTTAATTCACTAAAGCTATTGTAGACTTGAATTTTTGCCTGCTACTGTATACATTGAATGCATTGCGTTATGTGATTCAACTATGGTACCTGTCTTTTTGCCTGCCGCCTCGTGTGTGGGTCTTTAAAATTTTTTCCATTGCCTTACATGATGTGATGAAGAGTTAATCTAGAGAGTGTCCCTTTTTTCTATCATTAGCGGCTTGTGTGAGCCATATTAATTTGATTGTCTGGTAGTGTATTATTGAAATCTTTCTTGTCTTACTCATTGTCCTTCTATAGGTGAGGACTTCTGGAAGGTACATGAAATTTACAATTGGAGCAATGCTGGAGGAGATTCAAGGTTTATATCAACAGCATCACCAACCATGCTTCCTCTATTTATCTAGTGAAGTTATAAAGGCAAGCCATCCGCTAAAACCCAAAAACCTGAATTTTTGTTTCCTTTTCTTTTTTGTTGTTTTTTTTTAAATTAAAATTGGTGCATTTGTTGCTTCTTATGCTGCAGATATTTGGTTCTGACCCATCTTGTGCAAATTATTTGAAAAGTTTGATTGAAGCACTTTTTTTGCACACCACACATCTTCTCACTAGCATTCAGGTAAGTTTTCATTGAGCTGGAGCCTGCAATTGTTTTTTCTTTCAAATATTATCTTTCTTGTAGTTAACTTGCACAAATATTGCAGGAATTTACTGCAAGACCTGATATAGCAGATGATTGTTTTCTGTTGGCATCAAGATGCATTCGCTATTGTCCTCAATTATTTATTCCATCTGCTGTATTTCCATCATTAGTAGATTGCTCGCTGATTGGGATTACAGTGCAGCACAGGTACTCTCTCTCTCTCTCTCTCTCTCTCTCTCTCTCCATGTAAATAGAAGTTTGAAAATTCAAACAATTTCCAAGAGATCACTGTATGTGTAGTAATTTCAACTCAACCTCAACTTTTTCAGTAAAATTAGTTTTTACCATGTTCAGTTAAATATCTGGTTGCAGTTGAGTCTGAGATCTTTTTTGAAGAAATTATTGTTGTTTCACAACAACTTTGCCTTCCCGTTTTTGTATCTCAAGTTTGTTGTTATTTATTTAGAAGTTTTTCTCTGTCGAAGCTTCCTACTTAGCCTTGTTAGATTTCTGATTCTGCATGTATCAAGTGATCTTTGGTACATGGTGTTACTATGTCCTTAAACGTCAGAGACATTTTCTTTCCGTGTTTGATATCAATTATCTTTTTGGTTGAGCATGGCTATTTACCTTTTCATTCTCTTCTTTGCAGAGAGGCATCAAAGTCAATATTAACGTTTTTATCCGATATATTTGATCTTGCAAACTCTGCCGAGAGAAAACAATACTTACCAATCAGGAATTCTGTCATTATTCCTCGAGGGTCCAGCATCACAAGAATCTTAATTGCTTCACTAACAGGAGCACTGCCAAGCTCCCGACTAGAACTGGTAATTTTTCACTTGTATTATCAACATCGACTGTTACGCTCACTGTTAACTGCATGAGTATTGATCGTATGTGTTTCGATACATGTCTGGAATTTCACTGTGCTTTCCCATCGTACAGGTAACCTACACACTACTATCTTTATCTCGAGCTTATGGGCCACAGTCAGTAGAGTGGGCCAAGGAGAGTGTTTCTTTAATTCCTTTGACGGCTGTGACAGAAGTTGAGCGTTCGAGATTCTTGAAAGCATTGTCAGATGCTGCGTCTGGGTCTAACTTTAATGCTCTATCTGTTCCAATTGAGGACCTATCGGATGTTTGCCGCCGTAATAGAACAGTTACGGAGATTGTTCAACAATCATTGAGGCCACTTGAGTTGAGCATAGCACCTGTATCGTGAAGGAGAGATTAGTCGTCCTAGAGTGGCCATTTTGCCAATGCCTTGCCTGTCGACGGTAAAATGAGTTGTCTACTGTGTATTTTTCTCATATTGTTTCAGTGTTTTACTTTGATTCTCCAATTTTTAAGGAGATTCAATGCCCTACACATGGATCGAAGAGAGCGGCCGGTTTCTGTATGAGTGGTTGGTTTCCTTGGCATTGTCATTTTTTGGGGTAGGATGGCATGGGTATAGAGTTGTAGATTACTGAAGGAAAGAAAAATTTAGGCATTCTTTAGGAGTATTCCGTCCTTTCATGTCGTCAGATATCGGAAGCTGTGGTGGTGGTGGCGGCGGTGGTCAGTGGTTGTACAAATTATATTGAAAGCTTCAGTATATTGTAATCCAAACAGTTGCATTGTTTAGGTTCCGGAGGTTTTTTCAATTGGTTTCCGATGCTTTGAAAAAGGAACAAATTATATTGAAAGCTTTCTTTGATTCATATGTTGTGATCTAGACCGTTGAATCGTTCATGTTCCACATCATTTGTCAATTTAAATTGCTAGAAAAAACTTGCAGTACTTTTTTTGTGATTTTTATTTTCTTTTAATTTATTTTAGTGAATTTAAATTGAAAATTGCTAGAAAAAACTTGCTGGGATTTTAAATCTCAGTCTTTATGGCCTTGTTTGGTGTTTAGGATTGGATCGGATAACTCGTGTATTGAACAAAGAAATGAATGCCACTTCGAAAGTTCGTCCCAGTTAAATGTACTAGATGCATTAGTTGTTAAGGAAACTTAGCCCTTCGAATCCCGAGAAAAACGGTAGAATTGTTACAATTGTAAGGGAGTCTGCTTCACGGCTAGTCCATATTTTCATTTGATGAATATTGAATCTAGTGAGTTATCTAATCTTATCCGAGTAGAGACGCGAAACGAGGCGTTTCCTTTTGAAATTATATGTAGTTAGAAATTTAGTGACTGCCTTTGACTGCTTACCCTGTGAACCGTTCTATGTGAATTTCATTGTGTATACTTGTAGGCTCTTGAGCATTGATCCATTATTCGATCGATCAACTGGAAGAAGTTGGAGGCCAGAGAAGTGCTCCCAACTTTGACCGGTGCCGGACTGCAATGACTCTGGACGACTCACCCGCTCCGACACCGACCGCGGGTGAGCACTTCCGGGGATATACTTTCGTGGACCTGAAGGCTCTGCTCGAAAGCGGAAAACTGGAGAGTCAAAGGACAGGAAGGAAAACTCGGTGGAAGTTTTGACTTTCAGAGTGTGTTTAACATGCACATTTTATTCCACTTTCAATAGTCCTTATGGTTTGAGGAAAGGACACTTGATATCAAATTCTTCGGTGGATACCATGAATTCTGGTCACAGTGAATCCGTTTTTTGACCCGAAAAAATAAAATATGTTTGGGCTAGTTTGAAATTGCTTTTAAAGTGATTGAAAATTAAAGTGTTTTTGGTAAAATGGATTTTGGGTCCTAAAAGCACTTTAAATATTTTTTGAAGGAAGCACCAGATATTTGCTTTTGCAGGAAGCACTTGTAGTGCTTTTCAATATCTACTTGAATTTTTAATAAGAATTGGTTTCAAATTTTAATTAAAAGCGCTTTTATTCATTTTAAAAATATTTCCAAACGAATTATGTATCAATATTACGAATTCACGAGGATTATTATCAAAATAATCCTCGAGACACTTGGAAATGCTTCTCCATATAGCATCAAGAATAAAAAGTAGTTTTAAAATTCAAAAACATTTTCAGTTATTTTTATTAAAATTTGATAGAAACGTTTTAAAAGCATTCGAAAAAGTGCTTTCCGCCTATTCAAACGGTGGCGGTGAAAGCAACCATTTTTCTGCCTAATCCAATGGTGCCAAAAGCCGACCTAACTCATTAAAGTTGACACCTTGAATTCATCTGAGACATTTCGTTTTGATAAGGCATTCGCCAATGTCGCATGCACGTTTCCATACACAACCACCATCATCCATTATTGACAGCCATGCCACATTCAATCCACAATCGCAAAATTAAATTTGTCCATCCAAAATAAGTAAGGGATAAGAGAATGCTCTCCACTCACGAAGAAAGACCTACATGAGACGGAACGATGTGGCAGTATCCCAAACGAATGTTATACTAGACAAATGTTGTATCATTAGCACGTGATTGTTAAGACACGTTTTTATACTAGTTCATAACGCTATGATAAACGACTTACATAGTAGGGGTACATCACCATAGTGACATCCTGTACAAGACGTATAAATTTTTGTCCATATAATTCCTATTTCGTTGACATACAACACCGGAGAGACAGTATACCTATACTACGTAAGTTGTTCTCGATGCAGTGACATCCCCGTGAGTCCAATACGCTTTGGTGACATCACCATGGGGTGCCGGAGGAGAAAATTTTTGGTGCGACTCAATACACTAGGTATCATAATACAAGCTAAAAAAATTTAAATATCCAACCACCTATATTAAAACACTTGGTATACCAAACAATGCTTTCCAAAACCCAACTTCAGATTTTTTTTTCCCCACCTTAAAAAGCTATGAAGGCCACTAGTTAGACAAGGTCCCAGCAAGGGGAGGGGACCAACACACCAGTAACCAAAACACCCAAATGAAACCAAGAATCTGAATAATAAAAGCAGAAAAACAGCAAGAAAAGGACATAATATTATCTTGAAGGGTCTGTACAACAATCTAGAAGAAGAAAAACAGTTCAGTCACCTAATTTACCATGCCTAAATTATAAACCATTCCCCCAAATCGACACTCTCAAGCGACACTGATCATGCTATCCCCGTTGCTGAATCCTGGCATTGTCTGGAAAGCCGAATGCCTTGACGACGGTTCCCTCGAGTCCACTGACAAGGAGAGGTTGAGAGTTAGGGTCGATGTGTCCGTTGTTGAGTTCAAGTTTAGGTCAGATATTGCGGTTGCATGAGGGGCCAAATGAAGGGCAACTGGATGGACGAGCTTGGCCGAAGTACTATTCTCGGGATTTGCTTGTCGAAGAGCTAGATTTCCCATTGGGTTCTCAATGTGAACTGGCAAGACAGCTGGACCTACAGTCCTTGGAAAATTTGGCACCATCGAAAAACCACCAGCATTGCGAGACTCGGATGGTGGCGGGGGTGGCAACGGATGCAACTGAGACTGAGATATGTTATCTTGATGCTGTACTTGCTCTTCAACCATTGGAGTTGGAGCGACCTAACACACAAGAAAAAGAAGTTATCATGATAAGCTTACTTTTTCCTTTGGTGGTGGTGAAAAACTGTTGAAAACAACTCCAGATTAGACAAACGAAATTATATCATCCACTCAGCAGAATAACAAATCCACAATCTGATTTCGTTTTCTTAACTTTGTTGAGCTAGCAAAAGCAATCCGAATCTTGAACTGCCAAAATGTAAATAATCTTATGCTCACACTAGAAACTCATCAGGGAGAAAATCGCATCGAAATTTCAGAAATCGCATACCCATTTTATTCACTAAAGCACTTGTAAACAAGGTCCGCCAATTCAAATGACTGCAAACCAACTACTTTTAAGATCCATATGAACATATTAAGCTCCATCAAAACTCAAAATACATGAATTGAATTGGATTAAATTGTTATAGAACTAGAGGGTATTAAATCGTTACCGTATCAGTGGTGATGTCGAAGAGGCTAGACCTGCGGCGCCGGCGATTGAGGTTGCTCCGGCGCAGAAAGTATTTCTGTGCGTGGCTGGCAACCTGAGTCGGGGTGCGAGTCTTCACGAAGTTTCTTGAGATCCCTCTCCAATCTCCTTTCCCTACTTTCTGCAATCCAAACAAGAAAAGCTTGTGCTCTTCCTCCGTCCATGGAACCCCTGATCACAACAATATACAATAAATACACATTCTTCAACCAAAATTAACTAAATTCTGGTGAAAGTTCTTCTTTTTCCGATATCGAAAATGATCGATTAACACAGATAAACAAAATTAGCAATTTGATTAATTTAGAACATGCAAAATTCAAATGTTATGTACAAAAAACGCAAATTTTGTTACCGACGACCAAAACACTGCTCAAATTTGTTCCAGTTTTTTATGAATCCAATACAACAAATATAATTGACTGAATGATTGATGAGTTTAGAATCACTGATCCGAGATTTCGGGGAGAAGGATAGAGAGACTGACCTCGCTTGCGTTCGCGCTCGCGATTCCCGCCAGAATTGTGAACGACGTCGTTCTCGGAGGCGTAACCGGGCGCCGCGTCATCCTTTCCGGCGGCGGTGCCGTTATTTCCGTTGTTAGAGGCGGCCTCCTGAGGCTGCTCGTACTGCGAGAGATTGTTCAAACTGACGCTCTTCCTCATGGAATCGATCACCAAGCGCACGCCGAACAGCATGATCTCTCCCGCGCCCGCGGGCTCAACGGTGGAGCACGTGCCAGACGACATCTTCACCGACCGCGACGACGACGTTTCCGGTCGATCAGTCTCTGTTTCTTCGGCGACGATGGATCTGGGGCCGTACGATTCGGAGAAGAAAAAGAGAGCGAATAAAAATGATGGAGCGAAGAGTTATGTGCGGGAAAGGTTTATCTATATACGTGGGAGACGACGGGGATGAGGTGGCACCATGTGGATCGTCGAACGGACATCTTTACTTATTGAGTAAATTGCAGCTACAGTTACTTAATTTTAACTCAATTAGAGAAATAGTTCATCAACTAAAAATTCATTATCATTTGATCTCTCAACTCATCAAAACGTGCAACTATGGTCTCTTAACTAAAAATCAATTATCATTGGTCCCTCAATTTTAATCAAACTAGAGAAATGGTCCCTCAATTTTAACCTAATTCGAGCAATGATCCCTCAACTTTAACCATAATTGTAGCAATTGTCATCTCAAAATAACTCGTTTTGACAAAATTATGACGAAGTTGACGAAAATGACCATAGTTACATGTTTTGATGAGTTGAGGGACCCTAATTGTAGCAATGGTCCTTCCAACATAACTTATTCTGACAAATTTTGACGAAGTTGATGAAAATGACTATAACTACATATTTTGATGAGTTGAGAGACCAATGATAATGAATTTTTAATTAAAAGATCATCGATTTAATTTGATTAAAATTGAAAGTCTATTGTTACAAATTACTCTTAATTATTTGAACCAACTTTTTTTTTTTTCGTATTTGTCTAGAGATAAACTTTACTTTATTCTAATTGAAATATTTCCGTCTTCCACTAATATATTAAAGAAGAATTCGGGACTAATATGATCCCAACTAAAAGAACCTCTATTTTTTTAATAAACGCCTCGGAATGCGCCCCTTGATTGCCCTCCTTACGAACAAAAGCGAACATACCGTGCCAACTTCATTGGCTATAGCCTATAGCCCTCGTAATGCTTTCCACCTCCACCTCCGCATCCACACTTTTCTCCTTCCTTGCACATTTTTAATTAATTCATGAGCATCAGATTTCGAACTTTTAATTTTTTTTTTTTAATATTTCTTTAATTTCGATTAAATCTCAATAAATTGATATATCCATCTATTGTAAATTTTCATAATTTTCATCAACGGCAACATGTATTAATACTAGTATATTCCTCGACGTTTTTATAAACATGCATATTGATATTTAAACACTGCTTATATAGTATGGAGTTGGAGTTATTTTGGCTTTCTATGTTTTTAAGTCTATTAACACATGTATCTTATCTAGCTCTGACGTTGTATTTTGTAATCTAATATTTGAAAAATTAGGAATTATTGACTCGTGCATTTCAACATTAGTAAGTGGATATGCGTAGTGTTAGTGATGATAATTTTGAGAATTAATAGACCATATTATAATTAGGAATATTAGCATTAAAATGAACCAAGAAAGAAACTTAGTCACATGAAACATGAGGATATTTGTATGACTAACTATTGCCCTTCAATATATAATGCTCTTATTTTTAACTGATCACCATCTCAATCTTTTGTCAAATTATCAAAATTCTAGCTACGTCGTTTGATGTGAGTTAATATTTATTCATTTTATTATCTGAAAAACGTGATCGCGATTTTTCCAAACAGTTATGGATAATATTATATACATGAAAATGGGATGGAAGGGACGTGACAACCAAATGTTGCTTGGTGATAAATTTGTACACAAAGATTCCACATTTCATTGGATTTCTTTCACAATCCGAATCATCTAATGCCATATGGGTTACTTGCCACCCTAGCTATTAAAAATTAGAAAAAGTTAAAAAGGGAATAAGAAATTACTAGAGAGAGGCAATGAGCCCGAAGGATCCTCGCATGATTCTCTTTGTGAGGATTTTAGGAATCATCCAATCACATCCGTTCATCGTATATCGTTCAATAAAAAATTATTGTAAATTTTTTATTTAAAATTGAATATAAACATTACTTGACAAAAATTAATCATACAATATATAATGAACGGATGTGATTGAAATATTTTCAGAATTCTCACAAAAAGAATCTGACCAGAATCCTCACTCGGCAATGGGACCCCACTCAACCACCAGCTGTCACAAAATATTATATGCTTTCTGCACCCCTTTTCTTTATCCGGTCGAACGCAACTTGTTATCCAAAGCAGTGGAGATAACACAAATAATTACATTTTTAATTATCCACATCCTAAACCTCACACTCATGCACAATAGAGTTGTCACGATATTATAGGTTCGTTTGTAAGTACTTTTTAAATGACTAAAAGTATTTTTAGAGAAAGTCTTTTGGGTTTTCAAAGCAATTTAATTATTTTTTGCAAGAAGTTTCAGTTATATCATTCTTCCGTAACGTTCACTTGCATTTTTATTGAGAATTAATTCCAAAAATATTTTCACAAGTGCTTTCAGTTATTTTAAAAACAACTACCAAACGAGTTCAAGGTAGTCAAAATGACAGATTTTTTTAATTACTTATTCTTAATCTCAATCAATATTTCTCGTATTATTCAATGTTATTGTTGAAAAGCAATCTCAAAATGAACTAAAATTTTATATTACTCTGTAAGTTTGTTGTAACTTAAAACTTTTAGGTCAAATTCAATGGTTGTCAAAACAAAAATAGAACATCTATTAGATTAAAAATTAAAATTTAGTGCTTTAAGTGACGGAGTATTAATTCAATAACCCGAAGGAGTGACACCCCACTTTCCAAATCTTAACTTACTTGCAAATTGCAATTAGTTATTAATTAAACCAGCTCAATGCTAATCTTTATGCTTATAGTAGTTATCAATCTATGATTATTTAACTTATATATCTTGGATGTATTATAAAGTTAATTAAAATATTAAGAGATGCTATATGGACCTTCTAGTTGGCATATTCGCTTTTAGTCCATTGAAAATAAGGGGTAGATTTTTTTTCGTTATCCCTTAAGCTCGTACACTTTATTATATACTAGCTTTCATGAACACGTATAATGTATTTTTTGAATCACAGCATGTTACGTGCGATTTACACGTTTTAAATATATTTATATGAGTAAATTGATAAAGTAAATGAATAATCTTAGATCATACTAGAAAAAATCTTTCATAAACCAATTAAAGCAGTTAAATCCACATAATAAAATCGGTCTCTATAAAGTTACATTAAGAATAGAGAAAATAATATTTAATAAACAATTGATTGAATCACATTATTTTCATTGTGAGGTTAAGCTCATCCCCTCTCCCTTAGTGTAGATAATATCGTTTGTAAAATTAAAAAAAAAAAAAAAAAAAAAACCAATCATTTGACAACTAATTTAATCACATTATTATCTGCGTGTGAAAGACTTTTTTTTATAACTGGCATTACACGCCTCTTAAGATGTTTTGAATGTATTTAAAACTAGAGAAAATAATATTGAATGAACAGCTGCTTGAATCACATTATTACTAGCCTATTGTGAGGTACTAATAAACAAGTAAAAGTACAAAAATAATTAATTATTTCAAAAACATTGTTAAAACGACGAAAATACCCTTACATTATTTGATACATTATTTTGGGATACTTTTAAAATTCTTTTGTCTTGCAGACATTTTTGTTCAAATTTTTTTTGTTGAAGTTTGGTGATACCAAAAACACTGTTCACCTTTAGTGTTGATTTCATATATAGATGCATATGCATTTATATATATTATATGTATAGATAAACTAATCACTTTGATAGTGGGGTAATAGTGCTTCTGTGAGCAGCTAGGATAACACCAAAGATAAGGTTTTTGTGGGGCTGCATCATCTATTTGCTGCACTCTATCTTCTTCTTCTTGGCCTCATTCTTTGGATCTCTATCTTGGGAGTAGATGGACTCGGAAATCTGGATCATTCGAGAGAGATGAAGAGATGAGGGTGTGGGTTTGTGTGTAAGATGGGCATGTTAAATAAACAATGGAGGTTGCAAAATTTAAATTGAATGATCCGAATTTTTGAGTCTATCTGCTATAGAGGTAGAGATCCAAAGACGATCTCATGTTAAATTTTAATTCCACACATGCACTCAAATGGTGCACAATGCCCTCCTTATCTATTTAGTATCGGTATATATGTTGAAGGCTATTTCTGATAACAATAGTTAAAACAAACTAATATTTACATTTTACAATGTGTAATGTTATACGACAGAATTTTCCTTCACGCGTTACATAAGGATGTATCATTGGATGAAATTAGAAGCCATCACCTCAACTGCTTATTTTGGAATAAAAGGGGAATTGGTTAAAAATGCCAGGTAGCAAGTGATGGATCCCATCAAAGAAAGCACTTCCAATGGAAGCAAATGTCTCTACTTCTAACTTGGACATAACTTTTTTGACTTTATGGCTTTTAGATAAGCGTGGTTGAATTTAAATCTGCGTTTGCTTTTATTATTCTCATTGATACAACAATGTCTCTCTTTTTTTGGTACTCTATCACTTCAACCTTGAGATCCTCTTCGGATCTCCAGCTCTAGAGCCCATGGATTAAAAATGTCAGGCAGCAAGTGAGGGTTCCCATCAAAGAAAGCACTTCCAACGGAAGCAAGTGTCTCTACGTCTAACTTGGGACCTTTTTTTTTTAACTTTATGGCTTTTAGATAAACGTGGTTGAATTTAAATCCGCTTTTGCTTTTATTATTTGAATCAATACGGCAATGTCCATCTTTTCTTGGTACTTTATCACTTCAACCCTTGAGATCCTCTTCGGATCTCACGCTCTTGAGCTCAAGGATTGAGCAATTCTAACTATTCAAGAGAGAGATACTTCGGCGTTCGAGACAGATTATGTGTGTGTGGTGGGTCAGTGAGAATATACTAATGAAACTGCGTGATTTATATTGAACTGTCGGAATTGCCCAATCTCTAGGGTTCGGAATTTGATATCCGGAAAGAATCTCAATCCTAGCAGGTAGGTATATGGCGTACTGTTGGGACCATGTGATATCTCTTTGTATTCCCA